ATCTTGGTGGAGGCTCAACTTTATATATATATATTAACAATGTTAATGATATGATGACACATTCTTTTTATTTTGATAATTTTATATAGATTAATTTACATATTTAATTAAGAGTCAAATTGAATAATTTCAAAATATGAAATCACATTTAATTTTCATTTGAAGTAGCAGAATGATCGATATGGCATATTTAGGTTTGGTTTTTGTTTTTTGCAGTAGCAAGAGAACGACGAGGTGCTCGTGCCGCATGAGAAATTGCTCGAGAACAATCATCATTTGATGTGTAGTGATGATATTCATCAATCATCATGTTGTTTGCTTATATGTTTTCAATGTAACTTGGTTTCCATCCAAACAAGAAACCTTTGATATGCCTTGCCAACAAAAAGATACACTCAATTATTTGTAAATTTGAGAACTTTTGAAAGTAACTTGTTTCTATCCTAATTAGTGAAACCACAAGGTTACACAATTTAATTAAAGTGGCAATAACGGTGGTAATTATTGGAGAGTTACTTTGTTGAAACATTTCCTAAAATATGGTTGGAAGACACAATGAGAAATGCATTGGGTTTCAAGAACCATCATACCTTCTGGTTCTAGCATTCCAAATTAGTATTCACCCTCTAAAGAATACACCCAAAACCTTAATCTAAGCAAAGTAATCGGATAACAAAACCAAAATACCAACTTTATAATTATATGTTCTCTATTTTATGCTTCCATATATATATATATACTAAAATTATGTGGAATATGTTAGTGGATGGCCATGACAGCTATATGGGTAAATAAGTACCGCATTGCTATTTTCCCATTGCTATTGTACAGGTAGGGGGTTCAGCCACTACCCCATCGGCCGCCGAATGGCGGAATCAGGAAGCCGAATGCCAATCGGCCACCAGGATCGGCTTACCATCATTTGGTACTCTTAATCAAAGATTAGGGGTTAATTAGTCGATTAAGGTGTATTACCTAATACGGTAAGTACGTCACAGGGCCCATGGGGTCCAGGGCCCATAAATGTCAGTATAAATAGCTCAAGACAAAAAGTAACGTCACTGTTCATTAATTATCCTAGATATCTATGTTTGTCCTGACTTGAGCGTTGGAGTGCCTTCTGCAAGTACCAACCCCTCTACTCACATCGGATCGGAGCACTCGTTCGGCCTTCAGACTGCGAGAAGATCATTGGTGTATCCTCTTTGTAGGTACATTTGGCGCCCACCGTGGGGCCGAACGAAGGCAATTGGAAGTTTAACTAAGAAGTGTAATGGCGATAACTAGGAGAACAAACACTCAGGACCATCAAAATGAAGAACATGTTGAGGTTGTTGATGAAACAGATCTTTCCGAAACGGTTCGATTATTGAAGCAGGAAATGGAGTTGATGAAACAGCAGCGAGAGAGAGAAGCAAGAGAGCTTTCGGCCTTGAGAGCCGAAAACGAGGTGTTGAAAAGTCAAGACACTTCATGGAAACCTACTCATGTCACCAACACACAAATCCAGGGATCGTATCAATCTCACACGATACATACTTCGGCCCCTCATGCATCAGCAGCGACACCCGAGAAGTTCCCTTCGGCTCTACCCACTGTTGCCCGCCCCGCAGACGTGACGACCGTCGGATTGCATCGACACCCTTTTACCCCCTCCATTATGCAAGTTGTATGTGTGGGGCATCACACACTTTTATGCCTCTAGTCATATGGGGACTTTGTCGGTCCTTTTAGTGATGTGGGGAACACTTTACACATGACAACATCCTCTTCGGTGTACAGACTGACTTGTGTGACGAAGGCATCAAGGTGTTCCTCCGGATCAGTGGTTCCATCGTACCTCTCTAAGGCCAAGTTCTTCCAATTGTCAGGTAACCGGGCTCCAGCGATGTCCGGAGTGAAGGGTGTTCTCCCTTGCCGTCGTTGCTGATCCAGCGTTGTTGTCACCACTCCTCCAGGTAGCCGAGGAGCCCTCGTCTCTTTGTACAACCCCGACGATTCCCCATGATCACGTGTTGATAATGTGTTGGGGGTACCATGGGATGGGTGCAAGGATCTGTTATCGCTCCTAAGTTCTGCGTTTTCCTTTATTAAGAGCGACAGCTCGTGGGCGTCCTTCTCTTGGAGTCTCTTTAACTCTATCATTTCGGCTTTTAGCTGTTCTATGGCCGATGAAGGGTTGGGAGGTTGGGACCGATCCACGTAGGACTCCTCCATTCCTTCCTCGTTCTGATGCGTCTGTTGTCTTGGCTCTTGGGGCATCCCGAGGTTGTGAACTATTGCGTTATCCTGCTGACTTCTAGTTGCTACCATCTTAATTCAGGGTCGAGAACCGTTTGGTTTCGGCCCCACGATGGGCGCCAAAATGTTCCTGCTTAGAAACACTCCTCTTGTTGCTACTTCCTTGTGATCCCTTTTATTGGTAAATATTTACATGCTTGAAATTTAAATTAAACAATTAATTTTAAAATATCTACATGATTGCTTTTATTATAATAATATTTATTATAGAAAAGAAATAAATAAAAAGGAGAAAGAGATTAACTGAAATACCTCTTGAATGAGCTCTATTGAATCTTCAAAACAGGAAGATTTTAGGTGCTTTGTGGCAACCTTTCACACTACAATGCCTTACAAAATCTCAAGAAATACAAAAGAGAAGAGGAGAGAGAAAAAAAGAGAAATTTCGTGCTCTAAGGAGTCTGGACGAAATTTTTGGAGTCCTGAGAAATGAGCCCCAACTGTCTATTTATATACTTCAAAAAGGGTCCAGAACGGCCCTTTCTAAAATCGGAACGGTCCGTTCTGGATATGATCGTTATGTGTAAATTTTACAACTGGAACGGCCCGTTCTAAAATTGGAATGGCCCTTTCCAGAGAAAAAATCAACACATCATTCGGTAAACTGGAACGGCCGTTCCAAAGAAGAGTTTTTAGGCCATTTTCTTAACTTGGAACGGCCCGTTCTAGTTTGGGAACAGCCCTTTCCAATAACGGTTTTAACCCACTTTTTATAACATTGGAACGGCCTGTTCCGATCTTGGAGCGGTCCGTTCCAATTTAGGGTTTTTGGCCTTTTGGGAGCCTCGAAACGGCCCATTCCAACTCAAGAACGGCCCGTTCTGATTTTGGAACGGCCCGTTCCGGGCCATTAAAAATAGTTAATTTGGGCTTTTGGGCCTTCTAAAGTCCTGTCTTGTTGTTGGCATGCTTCGGGAGCTCATTCCCTTCATAATAGAGGTCCATGTCCTTGTTTGTATGCCCCCAGACGAAATTGGGTGTCTACATAGAGTACTTAACTTCCCTGATAAATCTTGCTTGTAGTAGCTTGGTTGTCTCCTCCTTTACCGCTTAGGCCCTTTCTCCTCCCATCTTTCTTTTCTTTTGGCCGATGGGCTTAGCGTCTTGACACACTGAGAGTCGGTGGCAGTGAAAACTTGGGTGATGCCTGGCATGTCAGCTACCGTCTAAGCAAAGAGGTCTGAGTACTTCATGAGGATTTGCTTGATGTTCCTTGCCTCGTCCTCTGATAATTGGGAATTCAAGTAGGTCACCTGTTCTTCGTTTCTGCCTAGCTAAAACGAGATTGTTGTTTCTATTGGTTCGACCCTATGCTCGTCTTCAATTCTCGGGTCAAGTTCTAGGTCTACAATCGGCCTTTGTTGGCCAACATCGCCGATGACATTGACATTTTGCCTTGGCTTCGGAGTTGGCTGTACTTTTAGGCTGGCGAAGTAACATTCGCGGGCCGTCTTTTGGTCGGCGTGCAGAGTGATAACCGTTCCTTCTTCCGAGGGGAACTTCATAGCTAAGTGAGGGGTGGAGATGATAGATCGGAGCTTGTTCAGGGAGGGTCGGCCCAATAGGATGTTGTACGAGGTATTAGCATGCACCACCACGTATCGTACTTTAATCCTTCGTCTTTGTTGTTCGTCCCCGAAGTAGGTGCATAGGTCTATCGCTCCCCGGGTGTCCACTCTTTCGCCAGAAAATCTAACCAACGGTTCATCGTAAGGTGTCAACTCTTGTTCAGGTATGCCGAGCTGCTCGAATGTCTTCCAGTATAAGATGTCAGTCGAGCTTCCTTGATCGATGAGTGTCTTTTTCACAAGGAAATTTTTAATCTCCACACTAATCACCATCGGGTCATCTTGCACAGGGTCGACGCCTTGAAAATCTCGATCAGTAAAAGTGATAGGGGGCATGTGGACCGAAGCTATCCGGCCTACGGCGTTTACTGATTTGATTGCCCGTAGGTGTCTTTTACGAGCCGAGGACGAGCTCCCTCCTCCCGCGAAACCTCCAGCGATTGTGTTGATTACCCTTCGGGGCTGGTTTCGATCTCGCTGCTGATCGTTTCTCTCTTGGGATCGGCTATGCTCCCGGGATCTGTATCTCGAAGGTGCTCTCTTCCGGTCC